CGCGCGCGAGTGTAAAACAGTGAGTTATAAAATGTGGAACCAATGATAGCGCTGTACTGCCTATATTTAAGTGCGATTAAGATTGTGTGAGTAACCAAGGTGCTAATAAATTCAATCATCTGAACTAGAAACCATCATTTCATCACCTGTACCACCAGATGGACAGAGATGAGAAACCGTGTTATCCCATAAAATTGTGCTACAGAATAGGTGTAAAAGTGTCCACTGCTCATTTCTACTCCAAAATAATTTTGAAACAGATTGCCCAAGAAAATAGTCAAGAAAATTTCACTGAATCTGTGAGAGGACATATTCAAAGTTTGGATCTCCAATGTCAATACAAAATTATTTTTAGGTTGGTGTTCCTACTGGAATTAGAGAAATTTACATGTGGAGCTTCTGGGTTCTATAGAATATACCATAGTTTCGGAATACATAAATGCTTCAGCCTCTGGAGATTTCTCTGGAGATTTAATTAGTACAGGCCACTTACATTATACAAAAAAAAAAAAATCTGGAAAACATTGTTATTCTATGCGCTAAGCAGCTCTGTGAACACAGTAATGAGTCTTCAGGTTCCATAAAACACTGGGAAATTCTTGAGCAGCTGCGTGACTGTCGGCTTATCAAGAAGGACTTGGCTCCTTGGGATTAGAGTAGCTCTGTTGCTCTGCTATAAACTGTCAATGAAATATATAATGGTTTCAATTCCAGGCAGGTATAACCTTTTTGTTTCTCCCCCAGAATGTTTTAAGCTAACACGGCAGGAGGGCTCAGCAACCCAGACAGATACACAGGGTGAAACAAAAAGTAACCAAGGAAAAGAGACCTCAATAATCACTGTACAAGATGGTAATCCAGGGAATGAACACACCAAAACTGAAAGCTCCTAGCTCTCGATGATAGAAATACTGTGGTAGCTGTGTATGCTCCCCATGTAAAAATGACTGTACTGAACAGTAACATGAGCAGAATCAGAACCAGAGAAGAAATTGCTTGATGCTGATAATGAAAGTGATTTATATGTCATGAGTACTGAGAATTTGTGTATGTTACTCATGCCATAAATATTGATCTATCCCTATCTAATTTAATGTGTATGTTAGTACAGAACTTAATGAGGGAGGTCTAAAATACTTGCAGTTTATGAAGATTATTATGCTATTTGCTATTCACTCATGTGACTAACATATCCATTTATACATCGCTGATATAGTCAGCAGTGCAGTGTTAAGTTCATATGCTTCAGGTAATTAGAGAATCATGATTTCAAGCTTGATATGTTAATGCTGAATCTATATGCCACACAACAAATTGTGTGAAGTTAATTTTAACCCATTTCAAGAGGGAGTGCATTTTTTCTTGAGGGAAGTAGTGTTTGTTTCATTCCTCATCTGAACTCTTGCAGACTAAGGGGAAGGCAAGGGGAAACTGTATATACATCCTAAATAAGCTTATCAGCGTACATTAGCTGTCCACAAATGAAGGGTTCATGAACGTATTACATGAATTTCTTTGCCAAACAAGTATTATAGAGAATTAATTTTCCAAGTGCTTCTAGGAGGTATCTAAGTTAATATATGTACATAATGCAATCCCCATTCAATATTCCTTGATTTAAGGTTTTCTCTCATTTAATGTTCAGTTTCGATGACCCCAAGTCAATAATCTTAGTATTATGATTCGCCAATGTAGTATTCAAGTTTAGTGTTCAAAATCCACTGCTCCCTCAGGACACTTAAATGGAAGTTTTGCTGCATATATAGCAGCAATAATATATGTTCAATGAGAACCTAAAAATCCTGCAATCAAAATGTAATATGATACATGTGTAGCGAAAACTTTACGGTTTCTTTGTGGAGATGTGGCTTTGAACACTAAACTGAGGAAAATCTTAAATTAAGGAAACTTAACACTGAGATTGATTTGTGATCACTGAAACTGAAAATTAAATGAGAGAAAACTTCAAATCAATGAACATTAAATGGAGGGTTCATCATACTTACACTGTAGTGTAATACTCTCCAAGAGATCCTTTGAAATCTTTCAGCATGGTATCACCAGCCTTATGAATTAATGATAAGATTCCAATTATTTTCTCTGTGATCTCTTTGTCAATAATCTTTCCTGTGGAATCAATATATGGCGATTCTAGCATTTCCGTGCCACTTGCAGTTAAAAGTCCATACTTATTTGCCATGGAATACACAACATTACCTACTTCTCCATGCACCCACTGTGCTCCAAGGTCCAGGACAGCATCTTCTGTAAGTGAGCATTTTAAAGTAAAATATTTACTAACTTACAAACTAGGAAAATGGAAATAAGCATAGCATATGAGGGCTCCCTTCATTTTCCAAACACGGCATCATGGACCTCTTTAAGGTTAATTCAGTTTGTTTATGTCATCTCACAAGATTAATTTATTTTGAATCATTTCTAAGCTACCTTCCTCATTTTGAAAAAAAAATAAAACAAGGTTCATGAGATAGCCTTGTTGTTTGTGTGTTCCTGCGCCTAATATCTTTTTTACGTGGCCATTTTGTATCAAAGGAATGTAGGAGATTAGTTCTTCCCACAACTTCTTGTTAAATTGTCAGACTGAGGCCCATAGAAGGCCTGATAGGAACAGTCTCAGAGCCTACAAACATCTTTTGGGTGTTAATTTCCAAAATGTTGCTGTTAATGTATTCCCGTCCACCCTTCTGCTAGTTTCACAGTAATTTGGTCACAGCAATGTGTTCTCACATGGCAGACACTGAGACTGTATCAACTAGCATACGGTAATTGTTCAGATTACAGGCTTTAAATCTTGTAGTGTGATATGATTCTAAATGTCATGATACAAATTCCAATTTATCAGATGAAAATTAAATGAAATATCTGAGATCATATATCTTTCTCAGGAAGAGGAACAAGATGATGTCTGGTGATAACAGATATTTATTTGCAAATTTTGCTTATACGTGTATTTTCATATGACCATAAATCTCTTTGTGGCAATAGCACTTGAATGTAACTATTGCGTTTCTGGACATTGTCCATCATCCTGTTTTTATTTAAAACAGACACACAATAATTGTAAATCCCTTCTCACTGTTTTATATAATCTCATAATATGTAATTCATACAAAATGTTAAAATTATAATGTGAACATTTACATAACATACTACATGTTACTTACATGAAGGGCCATGTGGAATTCATGAACAAGTTCACCATTCCATTTACTTCAAATGCACAAAATAAACAAAAATTAATATGCTTTAAATCTGAAAACACACATCATAATAAGAATCCTCAATTGTAAATTCCTCCAAATGAGGCTTGTAACTAAAGGCTATACATTTTCTCACAAGGGCAACTGAGCCCACTGTGAATGGAAAGAATATAGAAAACAGAGATCTTAAATCCAGCTACCTTTCTTAGTGCCCTGCCTTTTATACAACTCTTCAGAGAAGCAGATTACGTTCTGAGGCACTATGCTACAAGCTAGAAGGTTGTGGATTCAATTCCCATTAAGGTCACTGGATTTTTTAATTGACTTAATCCTTCCAGCTGCACTATGGTCCTGGGGTTGATTCGGCCTCTTAACAGAAATGAGTACCAGGAATCTTCCTAGGGGTAAATGGTGGCTGCCACATAAGGCTGAAAACCTCCACTGCCATCTGTGAGCCAACTGTCTAGAACACGTGGGAGCCTCGATATCTCACAACCCTATGGGCCTCCACAGCCTGTTACAGCTAACCCTACTGATAGCAGGCCAAACATGGGCCACAAAATGAATGGGCTGATAAACCAGTAATGCTCTGGACTCATACCTGGGAGGTGTTTGGTTTGAATCTCAGCCACATCAGCTATCCTACTTGAGGTTCTTTTGGTCTTCCTCAGTCTCTCCAGGCACCGTACATCAATTAGGCCATAACTTCTTCCTACCACATTCTTTACAATTGATCTTTCATCTGTCATCCTACCATTCTACACTACATAGTCTTGATACCTAGAGTCTAAAACAACAGTTTAATAATAAATGTATTATACTTGATCTAAACACACGTTATAAAATATAAACGTATCACAGCAAAGTGCTTACCAAAAGGGACAGTATGAATTCTACCACCCAACCTTTCCTCAGCTTCTAGTATAACAATATCCATAACTCCACGTTCCCTTAACCTAGCAGCTGCTGCCAGTCCTGCGGCTCCAGCACCCACAACCACCACTTGTAATTCATCCATCAGCATCCTGAGGAATAAGAAAGCACTATATACATTTATCTTGTTAACACCTCACAGGACCCTAGTTCAGTCATTTCGATTTATAGGTTATAGCAATGTTTCTGACTTCATAAATGCTGATTTACTTTTAATTGGTATATAATTCGGCTGTTATCAACATAATTAGTATCATCAGAGTATGCAATCCTGTAAGATATGTTTCCCACATAGCTTATGACCCGAATATACTCGGCGTGTTATCTGCTTCGATCTGCTCTAACACAGACAAACCACTATTCTCACACACACACACACACATGTGAATACGCAATTATGGCATGATTACTGGATGTCATAATACCTCTAATTTATCATGAGTATACAGCATGTAATCAGTATTAAGTGTTTCAAACCTAGCCAGACGCACTTCAATACTTATCTTTCTGAACGGAAGGACTAATGCCCTTCCGTTTCATTATCAGTTACAACGTGCACGTCGATCCACGTGCCTCCATATCTCCATATAGTACAGTTAGGTTCAAGAGGAGTTAGACGCTACTTCGGTACACGTACTCACGCACATATACGCGTAATTTACATATCGTTTATTTACCGACGCCGTCAATAACTCAGAGTATATTGCACTCAATGACGAGTTGATAAGTTATTAATGAATTGGAAAGGATATTGGAAGATACTATCCCGATATTTACCCTGAGGGACTGGGAAAAACCACGAAAACTATCAGACAGGCATACATTTGCGTATTCAAGTAGCATTTAATTTCACGATATATCTCAATGCAGTATGATATTATCAGCAATTTGGCTAATCTCATACTCATTCCATCAGAATCTGAATTTATTAAATACACGAAATAATTCACACATAAAGCTATGAAAGGAATTCACAACCTATAGAACCTATAGGACCATAGAATTCTTAGAAGAATGAGTACAGATTGTTAGCCTTCGTCCAGAAAAATTTAGGGGATAGAATGTAAAGCCTATTAACATTGTTCTTATAATGTGATCTGGGAAACATCAGAGGTACATATATTTAACAGAATGCTACAACGTGACACACAGTGTTATAAGCATATCATGGTTAAGCAAAGTATATGCTGAGGCATCTGCAATTCATCTGCCTATGAATTCAATAGGAGAGAAAAAAAGATTGTATATTGACTATTTATAGGTCTCCATCAGGTAATTCTATAATTTTTTGGGAGAAACTAGATATGATTTTACACAAACTATACCATGAGAGTTATAATTCACAGAGATACTGGTTCGGACTTTGTCCATCGTCCAGATTCTAAATAACTAAAAACACAATGTTTCAGAAACTGGATCTGTTTCCATCCTCAGGTGAGGGAAGACACCTACCCTCTTAGAAAGAGGTTTCCGAAACGTTGTGTTTTTAGTTATTTAGAATCCGGACGATGGACAAAGTCCAAAAACCCAGTATCTCTGTGTGTTATACACCATCATCAGAACCCTATAGTATCTACTTATAATTTATAATTTATTCTTATATTCAAGCAGATCCAATTACATGGAGAGAAACAAGTTGTCACACCACTGAATATAGAATGCATCAAAAATCAAAACAAATGTTCCAACCAATCACTGGAACAAGTCAAAATAACATAATATAAAACATAGAGAACACAGTCACTAAACATAGTCAAATGTGGTTACAACAAGATTTAAATACTAGATGAAAACATATTAACCATTTATCGTATAAAATTCATCCAGTTTATAAAAACAATGCATATGAATGGATATTATCAATAAACAATACAATATCAAATAATGTATGTCACATCATTCACACATCAAAAGAAAAACTATAAAACATCTAACATGCATGAACAATAAATGGAATAAATAACTTCTCTCAGAAGTGTACTAAAAATTATTATGGTATTTATTTATTTTGTCTCTATAGATCATTGTTACATGATATAGGACAAGTCAGTTACTGTACATTGGCTGATTACAATAAGAGAATAAAGTTAAAATACTTACAATTGTTTACAGTAGATTACAATAGTTAAGATTTCATATAGTGTGAGGTGGAATCCATATTAGGTCCTCTCAGCATGTCGGCTTCCATATGTCCTATTGTATCTGTACTGGTGATAATGCTTATGGAGAATTTGATGGAATGAGGATTGGCAGGGGAAACTGAAGTACTTGGGGAAAACCTGCCCCAGTGCCACTTTGTCCATCACAAATCCCACTTGACTTGATAGCAGCGGTGGGAAGCCAGCGACTAACCGCTTAAGCTATGGCGCGGCCTTTGAGATAATATTGGTGAAATAGCACTGGTATAACGTTTCACTGTAAACTCTACACTGCAACGTCTCACTACATCTGTTCTCCCTTCCTGGTGCAGCTTCTTGGTATCTGCAATCTCTCCAGAGTAGCCCATTCAGGTACATCTCTGACTGTGTTATCTTATATTATAATATAATTATATGTGGTGATATAAATGAAATTACTTAAATGATGATGATAATAGAAGAAAGCAATTAGATGCTATTTTGTATTCTTATAATCTTATTAGTATTGTAACATTTCCCAGTAGAGTGGGTATGTCCACAAGTACTTTGATAATTTTATTATTGATACAAGAACTGTTAAAGTTCTTTTTCCATCAAACATTGAGTCTCATACTATTGATACTAGACAAAGACAAGATTTGTATTTACCTCAAGCTAATTTAGCTATTTATCAAAAAGGAGTTTATTATGCGGGTATAAAAATATTCAATAAATTGCCCATAGAGATCAAGAACACATCCAATAATTTTAAAAGTTTAAGGTTGTATTAAGGCATTTCTTGAATACTCATACATTTTATACTGTGGATGAATATCTAAATAGATAATTTTTATTACTGTTGTATTCATTGTACTGTCTAGTTGTGTAATATTTATGTATGTATTCTGTGCTCTATGTTATTTTATGACATGTTCTATATCCATCTCTGGATCTCTTGAACTTATAATAAATACAATACAAATACAAATTAAACTGCTACAAACCTATAAAGACTCCTGAGAACAAATAATTGGTGATGGTACTATAGTACCAGCTGGAAAATTATGGCCTTGTAAAGCCAACTATGTATTATCTGAAAATAGGATTTACAGGTTGCAGATTATGCCACTCACTTATCTCTCTGATAACTTTCTACAAAGGAAAACATGGAAGCCATTGCATAAGATTAACTACCTTCTAGTTACTGGACTTTAGAATAGAAATCAAAATGAAATAATAAAGAACCTGCAGCAAGCTTTAGATCTATTAATGTCACCTAAATATGCAACACAAGATACTACAGAAATTTCCAAAGATACAAAATGATTTCAGGATTACTTGCCACAGTGTATGTGTTTATTCTAAGTCCATATATAAATGGACTTAGAATGAATCATCTTAGGGTCTCAGTTACTTCTACACATCAAACACCAGGCTGAATAAAATACTTTCAGAAACATATTTCATTATTTCAAGATAATAAACAATTGAATTTCTCAAAACCTGTAAATAGTGTTACTCAGTTAAAAAGTATAAGAATATGTATAAATACCATTACAATGCAGCAACTGCAGATGATGATGATGATGATATTTCAATTACCTATTACAGTAGTTCTTAATAATTAACTTCATGGTAAAGGTTTTCTTTAGAATATTATATTTAAGCATCCTGTTGCACTATACACTTCTATATGTAATAATACAAATGCCGTCGTGAATGCAACAATTTATTTGGTTGTAGATCTTTGTCTTTTCTTTTCTGCACTATACGTTTCGGCTGCAATTGGCCATCATCAGGTGTATTTTTTACTACGTAGCTGTCACACTGCACACAGTCCAAAATCTAAAACATCAGCCTGTCAGTTTTGTTTAAAATCTCGCCAACATATGCTTGTTAAATTCCAGTTTAAAATTTAAAATTTCTAAAATTTAAAGTTTTAAATACCAGGGACACCTGCTCTTGTCTACATGTGCTGCAGCGGCTATTTCTTGTTTTCAGCACTGTTCATGTATTATTCTGTGCAGGCTCCCTGTGTGTGTGTGTGTTGCTGCTCATCTTTAAAAGGACAAAAGTATTAAACTGGGTTGTCTCAGGATAGGGACCAGTGATTGGCTCTTGTGAACGTAACAAAGAACCTTTAGATTCCATGAAAGGCAGAGAATTCCTTAAGTAGCTGAGTGACTATTGGTATCTCAAATGCTATCCTCTATGTACTTAGAATTATGTATGCTGTGTGTTAGGATTATTGTCACTGCAAATTTAAAACGAGAACTTCACATAAAATACGAAACCTGGAGTAACAGTTAATATAGTAGATTTTGCAGTTAGAAACTTAAATGATGTAGACGTAAGAAAACAATCGGGGTTACCTTATATTGGTCTGTAGTTCTCACTAACTTCGAAGCAGTCTGCTGTGGTGGTAGTGATCTCGCTATTAAAGTAGCTATGATAGTGTGCAAAAAGGGCTGTTTATAATAATATTTACTTCATTTTATTCTTCCAATCAAATATTTGAACGTTATACTTCATTGCCATATTAGTGTTCAATATGTCACTAGATTTTTAATTTCTATTGGATCGCCTGCTCTTCCTCAACAAACCATTTGGGCGACTTATAAAACCACTTGTATTCAGCCCTGTATGACCACAATCCATCAATCAGACCACCTTCCAATTATTTTTTCTTCATTCAACATCTCACCTAATGTCCAACCCTGTTAGAGATGGCCTATGTCAAGTAGGGGAGTGTACCATAAAGTAATCTATGTTATGCTGTAGTAGCCTGTGGCAAAACTCCAAAGTTGGGTGATTTTAACACCAGCTGGCCAATGATCATAGAAGCTGAAACAAGCAGGTAAGTTTCTAAATAAGACAATAAACACATATGATTTAACACAAGACAATGGAGTCCGGCTAATATCCAACATACAGCATCTAGTGATGATTAAGGTTAAACCCACAAATTAAAAATATCAGGTTTATTTCCTTAAATGTAATAACAGAAACTGTAACTATTACTGACACCATAGCTATTTACACTTCATAATTAACAATTTATGGAAAATAAAACTGCATGATATTTAGGTTAAGTTAGAAGAACCCCTGGCAGCTTGCACAGAGGAGACAGCATTCTGTGGTTGACTGGCCATGTTCTATTGGCTAATGTCAACACCAGGCAGTAATACAATGAAATCCATGTGTTCACTGTTGCTATTCGTGGATACAATAAAGAAGGTTTCTGACAGCGCTGTGGAACAATTTTTTTAAAGACA